GAGTATTGTCGAGCACGAGAGACGTTCTAGCGTTTGTTATAGAGCGGCTGTTGAAATTAAGTGTATCGGTAAAGTTGTATTTGGAAAGAATAAATCAGTTTTATTTAAGAAAGGACTTGTGTCGCTAAAGTTTCGTTGGAACGAAGTTACGGAAAATTAATTAACAAACGAAGACGTAACAATATGTATAATTTTTACAAATAACTTAAAATCTAAATACATAGATTAAGTGAGATGAAAGTCTTACTTTAGAGTTAAAAAATCTACATAAAAGCATGAATTACTTAATTTATTAAAAATCATAAGTGTGTCACAATTGAAAGAAGTTTTACTATCATTACTTCGAGATATTTTTATTATATGATTTAGCAATTTTATTTATAAACTTACCATTTTCTTCCATCAAATCCTGCACAAAGACATTAACACCAAACCTGAAAACTCTTGCATTCTACAAGAATGACATAAGTAAGAAATTTGTTCAAAACATTTCAACTAAAACTACCATAATAATAATAATTCTTCATTACAATCAAGTAAAGCCTTCAATATTATTAAATAGACATACTACTGAAAAAAAAAATCTAAAAAAGTAATAGCTGTTTCTGTTTAATTTGTTTCAATTAAGATATTAAAGAAAAACAGCCATGTATGTATGTATGCTTCTCCAGCACCTGATGCTTATATATATGATAATCAGTAACCCTGAAAAGATGCATGCCATGACAATGGAGCAACTCAAGCCACTTCTCATACTGCCTCAAATGAACAATCCCTGTAATGAATACATGCAGTTAAGTAATTTCAAGTACACTTAGCATCAACATTTCAGTGATAATCTCAGTTGAATTAAATATAAAAGTCTCACAAGCAACATGAAGATGGTGCAACTATTGTGTCAGAATATTAAAAATTATGATTGAATTAATGCTTTATTATTAATTTGTGAACCTTACAAGACTTATTACACAGGTCTGTCACTTACTTAGTAAGTACATGTTGATAATATATTATTATGGCTTATAGTAGGCTTAGTTAAGCTAAATTTTATAGATAGTATTGATATTCATGTAAAGTGAATATTATATACAATGTAGATGGCTATTTCTTTGCTACTCTGAATGCACATAACCAAAACTATCAACATTCCTTCCATGTTTAGCATAAAACGTAGTGAAAATTGTATGATATAGACTTGATTACATATCTTGCTAATATTCAATATAGGTTACAACGGGCTTATAAAAATTGTACTTAATCTCACAATCTGGATTTACTCCTTGAAATATTTGCAGGGATGAAGTCTAAAATATAATTAAATGTACTTTTCTTGAGATCTGAATTCAAGCTTCTGGATAGTTGACATGAGAAGAATAAAAACAAGTGACAACAGGACATCAACATAATTATCTTCAAATTGCCATATATGAAATCTTTTTTAGATTTCTTTCACTCTGCAGGACATGCAATGGCAATATAACATTAATTCAAATGAAGCATCCCAAAAAAAATATGCTGATACACTAAATCTTTAACCCCAAATTACCAATTTGTTTACATATCTTTCAGTATATTCCACCATAATAGATAATTTTATGTTTTTCTCTGTCACAACAATAAATGTAAACACATAAAAAAACAGGTGAAATTTTCTATGTAAAATACACAAAAAACCTCAGCAGATTAGCAAAATGAATTAAGTCTACAGTATTTTTGTTTAATCGTTTGTGTAACTCATACATTATTATGGATTATGTATCTAACCATCATGGACACATGAGCAATTTGTTGCACAAACAGCTTAGAAAAATGTGTTTAAAAAATCTAGTGGTTTCCATATGTATCCCCAACTGGTAATTATGGGGTTACATACAGTACCTTATGTCTCTTGAATAATCCACTTTTCTTTTTAAATTTTTCATTACAAATACATAATGTCCTCAGACATAACACTAGATGTAGGAAATACATCTAACAAATCACTTCACTTTTTACTAATTTATTACATTTCAACATGTTGTTCAGATTCAGTATGTTCAAGTAATATGTCCTAGGAGTTTGTTTCCCCTTTTACTGCTACGTTTCTGTCGAATAATTTTTAACATTGATGTGTATGTCTTATTATTTGAAATGTTCAAAGATTGAAACTGTGTTTAGATGAGTCCATTCATTTAAAAGATAAAAAATTATACAATGAAAACATATGGAAAAACTACAAGTAATGTTAACCTCAAAAGCTGAACATGGCCCCATAAGCTGTACAGTTTCAACACTATTTCCAACATTTGTGTCTATCACCAAGATCTTTATTCATTATGTTTTTCTTTTTTATTAACTGTGTAAGCTTTTTTATGACAGTTAAACTATTAGATTAATACAGTCTTCATAAATTCCTAATAAAGAAAAGGTTTAAAAATGACACTAGAAGCAGACTTACAGAGTCAACAGATTTCAAACTTATTTCTTGCAAAGTGCATGCACAGTCAGGTCTATCAACTCCCTCAAAAGCATTACTGTTGCCACTCCAATATATATCACATTCTCTTCTCATCTTTTCAAAGTAGTTTATTTTATCAAGGTAGCAAATTGTAGCTTCATACAAATCATTTGTATTAACTGACCCACAAGTGTTGTTGGAAGGATGTTCTGAAGTGTTTGGAAGATCAAAGTTTTTTTCACAAAATACTTCAGACATGCTGTTCAGATTACTAAAACTGTGCTTCGTAGAATAGTCCTCACCCATCATTAACAGTTCAGAATTTCCTATACAAATAAATAGCAGCACATATTGTAATGTGACAATTAACACTATAATTCCAAAACTACAATCAACCACATTCTTTAAATTTAGCATATGACTGCAAAACCTACAGACAGAGGCAGACAAGGCAATTGCCTCTTCTGAAACTTTGCCGAGTATAGCCTTAAATCTTTTATATTATGTCCTCTATTTTTTCACTAAGATAACTAATTTTCTTTGTAAAATGTCTACAGGTAACATTTATACTATGAATGATAAATGATTACATATCTATTCCAAATGTATCTTTTAAGTATTAAAAGGGCTCTTCCCTGGACTTGCTAATGTGGCTTTTGACAGCTTGCAAACTTCCTATTTCATCTAAACATAAGACTCTAGTTATTGCCTTAACAGACTATGAACCTGTAGAGAAGTTCTTTAGTCTATGATGACTTTCATCATTATAAATATTAGCAAAGAAACTAACAAATACATTTTCAAACAGATTGCATGCAGTATGCAAGTACTACATACCTTACCCTTCTATAGGGTATATTATATTTCTACAAAAAAAAATAAGTTCTGATTTGGTACATACTAAATCTCATTGAGGTCATATGGCAGGTTTAACTTGAAACATTACTTTCTGTAGCAGGGTTTTATGATGGATGCTATCTACTTGGTGATCTGCATGTCCGAAATTGTTTTGATATAGTGTACTCAACCCTGTATATATATATATATATATATATATATATTAATTTTGTTTTCCTGCACATATGTACTTATAACAAAAACATGCAAGAAAACTGTCAATATACATTCAGGAATTCACAAGTTAATATAAAAAAGTAGTTACAACATAAATGAAACAATATGTTCTTCAAATATTACTCAACCTACAGTGAGAAGGAGAAAACTAATACTATCATGAATAGCTATTACTTATTTTAATTATTTCCAGTATGCATGTTTTGACAGAATCTGTACTATCTCAAAGGCCTGAAAGCACCACTAGTAGCAAGGATACCAACTGATGACCTAAGTCATAAAGGTTTTTTGTGGTTTGCCTGTTACCAATAATTAAGAATATTTATTATTAATTGCAATTATTATTGTAGAATTTTAGAAGCTCTTCTGGTTGAAGTTATTACATAGTCATTATCAATAAATATTTCACTTTCTTTATATAAACCCCAACTTCTAACAATGTATCTATATATATTTGCAATAATAGAACTATCAGAAGTGTCAACAGCTAAAACAAATCTTACAATATTTTGAATTTTAAACTAAGAATATAATCAGATACATTAACAACACTCAATCTGTAAAAATAAACGGTTCTGTTCAATCATTAACTGCCATCAATTTCTTCTATTTCAACACATTAATAATCATCATTAGTCATCCAGTCTACTTGTCATATTAAATTTGTTGCTATTTCACAAGGCATCGCTGACTGGTTGAAACTTAAACTCAGAATAATTTTTGAAAAAAGGATAAAAATCATATAATGAGCAATTTAAGTTCATGTTATTTTGCTAGTGTAAAAACTTCCTCTCACAGACTCTACTGACAGGTAATTCTAAACATGCATTTTTAAATCATTAAACAATAACACAATATTTTAATACAGACCAACAATACTTCAGTTGTATGGTCTTTCACATATAAACAATTGAAACAGAAATAAATAAAAACTTGAAATTTCAATTGGAATACACATATCTTTAAAGGATGCTACATAAGGAATGCAAACCATGATTAGTCTCAAACTGTGCACACAAAACATTAGACCAACATGGTATACACGTGATCTAGCTAGTTATAGTAGTGTATCTATATTATTATATTTTGCTTAGTAGCTAAAAAAAACAACATAAGAATAACAGCATTTATTAGAAGTTTGGTTGAATTATGAGCCTTAGTTTTAATTACTATTGTTATTATGCTGATAACATCATATGGTGCAAATATAGATTAAATATTATTATTTGAAAGAGATTGTTTGTTTGTAATTAATCACAAAGCTACACAATGGGTTATCTGTGCTCTGCCTACCATAGGTATCGAAACCCGGTTTCTAGCGTTGCAAGTACGCAGACATGCCGCAGTGCCACTGGGGAGCATTTTAAAAAGAGGTGCATTTCATAAAGTATTTCTGCTTAACACAATATCAAAAAATTTAATTTCACATGGTATTTTTTTTATAATTATTTATTTGAGAATGTAAGCTACTGGGTGTATAATTATTTCTCATTTTCTTTTACTGTTTAGATTACTATACTTTGGTCCCCGTTTTTTTGTTAATTATATTATAAAATACCCCTATATTAGAGAATGATTATTTATATTAGACTTTTAGCTGTGCATATATATATTTTTTTTCGTAATTAATGTTTAAAAGTATTTTACACAACGGCGAATTTAAATTAATTAATGATATAAAAACGCGTATTTGCCAAGTAGGCGTAGTATTACATAATGCTTAATATTTGTTTTCCTTTCACTTGTGTCGTCTGCTACAACTGGAAAGTCTAACTAGCACTGTAAATTATTGCTCTCGAGTCCCGGGGCTAAAAAAGTATCATGCAGCTTGCCTTTGGTAGTTTGTGGTAATTTCACTAATGTTTTTGGTACTTTTTGTCATATTCGGAACTGACATTTTTTCTACTTGTAATAATTCAATTTTAAAACTGGAGTGTTTTGTTTTCTTAACACAGCCACGTGCCATTACATATACATATTCTGCTATCAAATGCAATGCCACCATATAGACACTGATTCGGCTTAGAGCGATCGCCCTTTTACCTGCAACTAAAACATCAAATACAAATTGACATGACCTCTATAATCGTATACTAATAGTAATGTACAAATAGTAGATATTAAAAGTGCACCTTCAAGCATCGTAAAACAAGGCTTTTTTTTTGGGGGGGGGAGGTATTAGAAGAGAGTATGAAGAATGTGAGTTGCCTCTAATACACATAGGGTAAAAATGCAAAAGAAACAAAAATATTTTCTTTTATTCCTATTCAATGGGTTTTATAACCACTTTTATTTTATGACATAAAACTAAAAGTACCTTTTTCTGTATTAACATTTAATAGCTTATTACAATTATTTTTCCACTGCAAAACTCTACTAGTTTCCATGTTTCGTTTACTTTAAAGCTTAAGTCCTATTTTCTTTTCTAATAACTTGTAGCAAGCCAGGTGTAGAATCGGGTATATATATATTCTTAGCTGTTGTCAATTTTTATAGCAGAAATTAAAGGGCATTTTGGGAAAATAAGGGCAGGAAGGTGGGGGCTTGAGCCCACCCAGACACTCCCTTGTGCATGACACTGTTTACTCATCCAGCAAAATAAAATAAAATAATTTAAACTCACATACAAGCACACAACACCATTTATAAGTATCGCCTAACATAACCAAATCGCAGATAGATGACGATTCACAGCACAATAGAGTTTGTTTGTTTTGAATTTTGCGCAAAGCTATACGAGGGCTATCTGCGCTAGCCGTCCCTCATTTGGCAGTGAAAGAATATAGGGCCTTCTTTTCTATGTAGTTTCGTCACACCAAACATGCTCGCCCTTTCAGCCGTGGGGGCGTTATAATGTGACGGTCAATCCCACTATTCGTTGGTAAAAGAGTAGCCCAAGAGTTGGCGGTGGGTGGTGATGACTAGCTGCCTTCCCTCTAGTCTTACACTGCTAAATTAGGGACGACTAACGCAGATAGCCCTGGTGTAGCTTTGCGCGAAATTCAAAAACAAACAAACAAATCTATGTGGTTTTTCGCTAGCTTGTTTCATTAAAGAGATGCGCATGCGCATGTTTCATTTCTATGTGGTTTTTCGCATAAAAAAGATGCGCACGCACATAGATAATTAATAATACCCAGGTGCACGCCCTGAGAATCCACTTAGTATGGGTGCAAAATTTCAAGTTTCTTTCCTCTTAGAGATATAGCGGGCACATTTCATTTTTATGTGTTTTTTCGTATAAAAAGATGCGCAAGCGTGCGTAGATAAGTAATAATACTCAGTTGAAAAACCTCATGGTTCACTTAGTATAGGTCCAAAGCTTCACGTTTCTAGGTTCTTTCCTCTTGGGGCTATGGCGGTTACACAAAGACCTACAGACACGCCCTTTTATTATTATAGATAACAGTATAATCAGCTTATACTCTAACACTGATGAGTAAAATGGATTTTTTCTTTGAATGGCAGTAACCATCAGAAAATGAAAAATTGTGACTGCTGAATATTAACCAAATTCCATATTGTTTATTTTATTAGCTAAGTATAATTATATTTACGCTTTCTTAAAATTTGTAAGTATCTTCACAAAGTTTTCTTCGTTCTGTTACGTCTCTGGTCGTTGGTTAATTTTCCGTATAATTTCCTTCGGATGAAACTTTAACGATACAAGTCCTTTCTTAAATAAAACTAGTTTATTCTTTCTCAATACAACTTTGCAATACACTTAATTTCCACAGTCACTTAATACACGCTATAATTCACAACGATTCACGCACTTTACTTACGGTCACCACTGCGCTTGACTTAATTATTCGTCTCTATCTCTGCCTGTCTGCAATTATCCTTATATCGTCACTTCATTTGCCAGCTTATATATATACAAAAATAGAGGGCGCGTAGAAAAGACTAGAGTTGCCACGAACAGACATGATCCTTCTAGAATATCATGACGTGTTACTAGGGTCACGTGACTTCCGCTGTCGTAACAGTTCCAAAACAAAGGTGCTTCTCAATTAAAACCAGTCTACTAAGTTTGGGTAATAATTAAAACATGAATAAGAGGATTCTGCTGATAGCGTTGTGGTATGCTGATATATCACGTTTTCTACCTGCTTTAATGAAATAGAATTTTTTTAATTTTTGGATTTCAGTTTCCACGTTGTAAACAGTGTAACCTTGTTCAATTCCTTCATTTCTTTGTTCTCTACTCTACCCGAGAAAATAATTCAGTATATACAATATTCAGGTTAAAATCTGTAGCTCTGTAATAGCTTTTGCTGACTATGACGTTGATTAAATGTAACCGCCGAACAATATTGTCGACAGGACAAAGAAAACGAGCTTATTTGTTGAATTCAGGTGCGTTTTTTTTTAATCAGTTTCTACTGGAAATCACAGAAAAAAGGCGTCATTCATGAACAATGTGTTTTATTTCTGTGGTGATTAATCCAAAGGGAAAAGCTATGGAGCTTAACACAGCCTAGTAGAAAGAACTGCCACTGTGTTTTCCACTTATTTGTTATAATAAAAAATTTTTCATTTATTCCGACTCGTTATTAGGAAATTTGAAGTTAAAAGTTTTTGTTTTTATGGTATAGGTATGTTGCGTCAGCGAGGTCACGTGACTAGTATCACGCCACCCGTTTTCTAGAAATATCCTGTTCC